TTTCGTGGACTACAGCCCACTTCTTCGGATGCATCCGAAGAAGTGGGTTGTAACCCACGAAAGCTTATGCTCTAATAAATTTGTTAGTCTCTAAGGTGCCACAAGTACTCCTGTTCTTTTTCAGTCATTTGAGTTATCCAAGTATGCAGGACAAAAGGGTGCTTTTCACTCTTTAAATTATTCAGCTATTATTTTGTGCTCTGTTAAGCCAAAAAAAAGGCTTTTAATACACTGTGGACTGAGGGCAGAAATGGACCATAAATTACATGCAACTTCCACTGAAGTCAGCAGGGCATGTCTAGCTGTTTCATAAGACAGAATTTGGTGCCAATTTTCAATGAAGAGCCACTGACATTTAAAAACATCAGATTTAGAAAGAACTGAAAGAAGATTTTATGGTTCCACTAAAGTACAGTACAATATAAGATGAATGTGTCAGACTAGTTGCATTTTGCTTCCCCTTTCTCCCCCCGATTCTCTCCTTATCTATATTGGAAGTGGCCAAGAAATTCTTGGCCCTCCATCGCTACCACTGTCAAATCATTGTCTGGTAGGCAAAATTTGATCCAACGATCATACAATAGTGTGACTGCATGATTTTCCCTTCTTTAAAGTTCCAAACTATTTAATTACAAATAAAATAAACTCAAAAAATTATGGTTCGCACAGCTACACCACACTATACACAAAGCTGCAGGAATCACTTTCAGTTTCTCCACTCTTGTTCTTGAAGTCTCATTCACAACACTGCACAACTGTAGGGTGTTCTGCATTTAGAACAGAATAAGTTTTTAACTCTAGCACTTGCAAAACGTCACTCTTGTGAACACACAGTCTTGCTTTAAGTTAGTCAAATTTAAGAGGTTATGATTGGTTGGATAGTCTAATCAAGACCATACGAACCATCTCTCCTTTCACTTCCTCCTAATTTATACTCGTGTAAGTGACAGGAGAATCAAGCTAAGAATTTTTTTCCATACTGACAGGTTTCAGAGTAGCAGCCGTGTTAGTCTGCATCCGAAGAAGTGGGCTGTAGTCCACGAAAGCTTATGCTCTAATACATTTGTTAGTCTCTAAGGTGCCACAAGTACTCCTGTTCTTTTTCCATACTGAAAGTAGTGTGCACCATGTAACCAACACCACTAGATGGCAGGACAACTCAGCATATAAAAAGTTTAAATGATAATCACAAAGCTCCATCAATGCCCAATGGTTTGCACAACTGTCACACCTAACCATGGATGTTTTCTTTCTGTCTACAGAGACACTGTTTACAGTCCCTTGGCATTAATGGATGCAGTTATGTCTAATACAGGCAATGGGTTTCATCCACACACAAATCCAAATTAACGGAGTAAATTTGTTTTAGAGTTTCAATGCTTAAAGTTGGTTTCAGGATATGAGAGAGACAAGGTGGGTGAGGTAAATCTTTTATTAAACCAACTTCTGTTGGAGGAAGAGACAAGCTTCGAGCTTCACAGAGCTCTTCTTCAGATCTGGAAAAAGAGCTGACACTGGTTATCTCTTCCAGACCTGAAGAAGAGCTTTGTGAAGCTCAAAAGCTTGTCACTTCCACCAACAGAAGTTGATCTAATAAAAGATACTACCTCACCCATCCTGTCCACCTCAATTCTTAAAGTGTCACACATTAATCTTTGTGTTCTGATGGGTGTGAATGAGAGTAGCTAAACCCCAAGAACACCCGCATGGTATTTAAAAAAAAAATTAAGTAGATGGTTCCTACACAAAAAAATAAGAAGCTAAACTTTCATACCTTTGCTTACAGACAAGAGGAGATTTGGATCCCTTGGATGAAATTTCAGTTCATTGATTGCATTTCCATGACCCACGTAGTGCTAGAACAGATTTCAAACATAAAATTATTTCCCCCTCTCACATTGAGATACTTAGAATAGATACAATCTGCAGTTCGAAGCAGTGACCACTCACCTTTATGCACTGCATTGTAATGGGATTAATTATTCTAATAATACCCCTTGACCCAGCCACAGCCAGAAGAGGGTGACTTGTATTGCTATCATAGGTCCATGCACAAGTATAAAAGTTCTCATCTGCCTAATAAGTGCCATGTTAAGGACTACAGAAGCAGCTATAGCGTTTCCTTCGAGAGAATAAGGTATTCATACATTTGTTTAGAAGCACAGTTGCCGTTTTGCAAAAAAGCTCACTAGAATATGACCAAAGATAAGCAGATTAATATTTATTCTGATTTCTAAGCTTTCTACAACTCCACTCCCTCTCCTGTGCTTGTTTCTCTCCTTGCTGCTCTTTTTGCTTCCTCAAGCTGCACCATACACCTGAAATGCCCTCTGATCTATCAGCAATTTCTTCTTCAAAAGGACTCAAGTGGTGGGACTAAATGACTAAAATGGAGGTGAGACAATAATTTATTTGCCATCTAAGTGGTTTAAGCTCAGGACTGGGAGCCAGGAATTCCCATTTCCAACCTTGGCCCCAGCAGTAAAATAGGAATGCTACCTACTACATAGGGCTGCTAGAAGACTGTAGAAGCGACAAACATGAAACCTGTTATACAAGTGTTAGCGCTGGGAGGCATAAGATTATGTAGAATCTTTTTAACGATGTTTTATATAACATGTTTCATGATTCTGCATTTGTAATATTAGAAAAGTAAAGCTAAAATTTGTGGGATACAGGCAGGAGTTTGGATCTGAAGTGAAGAATGTTCATTATCAACAGGTGTTTACAGTATTTTAATCACAGACAGGTTTCAGAGTAGCAGCTGTGTTAGTCTGTATCTGCAAAAAGAACAGGAGTACTTGTGGCACCTTAGAGACATCCAAAGCAGTGGGATGTAGCCCACGAAAGCTTATGCTCAAATAAATTTGTTAGTCTCTAAGGTGCCACAAGTATTTCTGTTCTTTTTATCACAGACAGTATAAGAGGGAATAAACAAATGTTTCTCACGTTAGTCCTACTAAAAAACCATTTTATGACCAGCTGCTTTAGAAGGATACGTCAGCATCCACGTAAGACTGCAATAAACGGATTTCTCCTTGGGAATGACATTCATATAAAGTAACCTGAAAAAAAAGGTTTAATGGATTATTAGTTTCATGCAATATGGCATATGATTTTCACATTCATCTGTGCAAATTGAAGGGTGTCTTGTTCTTTTACCACACAAGTCCCATCTACTATCTGTTCCTTAGCGGAATGTGGAAGTGGTTCGATGGAAAAGCATTCATGTGTCTTATCAGACTAAATGACTTATTTAAACATTCCTCATGGTGGCACTTCCTAGGGATGAAGGCTGCTGACAGGCTATACCATACCCTGAAATAAATACAATTAGCGCTAACCTAACTTGTTACTTCTATTCGATATTGACAAGTCATTCTATTGTCTGCTTTAATTTCTTTGCAAAGAACCATGGCCCTAGTTACTTATTCCTCTACATTAGTTAGTGCTTGTGATAACTGCCGCACTGACAAACTTGGAAAAATGAAGTTCTCTTATTTACTCATAAAACAGATATTCAGAGCAACTCATGCAGTGCTCTCTGTTAACTATTTCTTAAGGCTGCTGCTAAGTGAAGGTCTGTTCACCAAGAATCCATCAACTCATCTCACATAGGCAACTAATCTTTATTTACTATCAGTACTTGGCACATTGACACCAATAAAGATGCTTCTTTCATCCTGCTGTACATCACTTAGCCCTTTAAACTTGTTACAGCTGAGAACCAACACTTCACCTGAAAAGAATTTTAGTGTCTCCCTTTCATAGATATTCCAACTTCTACACAACTGAAGGAATTTTAGTAAAATATGAGCCTTATTCTCAAACCGCTGAAGCGTACCATCACACTGCAGTCCACTGGATTCACCCATTTTAAAGTTGCAGGCATTTACAGCCTTGAAAATTGGAATACAAAACGCCACCACAGTATTTTAAATACTGAACACTGGTAACTGGATTGGAGGAGGAAGAAACTGGCACGCAGAAACAGAACCACGTTTAGAGGCAACATGATTAGACAAAAATGAGCATATACTCACTCTGTTGCTGCCTACAGTGGCAAACACTAATGGATCTCCTTCCTTACTATGCCAGTTAAACTGGACTCCAAACAATGGCTGACTGTGGTCTTCCTGTAAAGGAAAAATAAGGTCAAGGAAACATGTGAGAGAATGGAGACCAGACATTATTTCTCAGAAACTCATGATTTGTGGCAAAAGGAACCTATTTTTGTCCAACCTCTTCTCATATAAAAGGGCACTACATTTATATATTCTGACACAATATAATCGCTACTAAAAAAAAAAAAAAAAAAAAAGAGTAGCACAGCACATTAACTTGTTCATCTTCAGGGGAGATAAAAATGTGTTCCTCTGCTCAAAGCTTTAAAGGCGAAGTGGAAAAAAAAAACCCACCTCTTATGTACTGGTTCTATTTGCAGCTTGACTATTTGCTTGTTTTGTGATCCTGGGCAAAGCAACCTCTGGGTCTAAAGCCTGGTCCACACAAATTTTGTGCCAGTATAACTATTTCAGTTAAGGGTGTGATTTTTTTTTTAAAACCCAAATAGTTATCCTGATATAACCCCTAGTTGGGATGCAGTTATACCAGTATAAAGGGCCTTATCAGCATACCTTATTCCTTATGGGGATAGACAAAAAGCAATACTGGAATAACTGTGTCCATATTGGCGGGGGGGGGGGGGGGGAGGCGCGTGTTACCACTTTAACTAGACAAGTATAGTTAAGGTGGTACAACGTTCTAGAGCAGTGGTTCCCAAACTGGGGTTCATGAAATATATCGGGGCTCTCAAAAAAATGTCTGTAATGGCAGACAGAGCCGTCCCTAAGGATCCCAACCCCCGTGGGGGCCGGCAACAGAAGCCCCGTGAGGCACAGGGGCCGGCAGCCCGAGCCCAGTAACCATGACTTCCTGGCAGAACAAGTTTAAGCTTTGTTGTAGTCATGCGTTTTTTGCCTGGACTGCTCAAGTCCCAAATGCTTGTGGGAGGAACTCTTTATTTGAGTTGGCTTCGTAAACATCCTCAAGCTGTTTCACGTCTGGTACTCCTTGATGAAACATGTAGGAGGCTTAATCGAAGTGGAATGAGCTACAGAGGTGAAATCTTGGAAGCGTGTTGCCGTTTTCATAAAGTAATTACATTAATAATGTAATAATAAATAGGGTCATAAAAAACCCACATTATTTCCAAGATCACTGCTTCTATCATTTATGTTCAGGTAAGGGAGAAAATCCCTGGAAATATTCGTTTTTAGGAGGGGGTTCGCGAGATTTGATATTTTCGTGAAAGGAGTTCGCGGGTTATTAAAGTTTGGAAACCACCGCTCTAGAATAAAGCCTTAAGACATGTCTACACTTGCCATTTAAAGCGCAAAATATCCCTTTTTTTGCACAAAATCCGTGGGAGCGTCTACACTTGTTAATGACTTTTTGCAAGGAAACTGAGAAGTTTCACCGCAAAAAGAAAACCACCTTCGACAGGCATACAGTTCTTACCGCTATTCTCTTTGCGGTGATATGAAAGTGAAGATACATTCTTCCTGTGTAAACACCTTTTGGCCTCAGGAGGATATCCCACAGTGCCAAAAGTGACCACTCTGGCCAGCACCTCCGCTGTTCTGACGCCAGGTAAACGGACGTCCACCCCTCCCCTGTAAAGCCCCAGGACAGCTTGTCAAACAACAGCTGGAGTTATACACAGCTGTGAGGTATACGGGCCCCCCACCATTATTGAGGATGGATATATGGGCATATGGTGTTTTCTCTTTTTTAAAAATAAAAGCACAAAATTTTCAAAAAGAAGCAAGCTTTATTTGTGTGTTCACGTTTCTGTACATGTCATCACAGCTACAAGTCAACTAGCACTTCATCTTCACTGAAATTACAGACAGAACCGCCATGTAGCACAGCACATGCTGTTAACGCTTCCTTTCCCAAGCCCAGCAACAAAGTTTAATGATTTTCATTTTCAAACTTTTCCCTCAAGGCATCCCAGATCCTAACTGCCACACATTGTGCCCCTCTAATAGCCCTGGTATCTGACTGCTGAGTTTCAGCAGCCAGGCATTCAGCCTCCACACTCCACGTATGGGTAAACCTTTCGCCCGTCCCCTCGCAAATGTTATGTAAAGGACAACACGCCGCAATAACCATGGGAATATTTTCCGTACTCGTTTCCAATCTACTGTACAAACATCTCCAGCGTGCTTTCAAATGGCCAAATGCACATGTTAGGATATAGATGTGCAGGCCTGTTTGCAAAGGCCTATACTTCTTAAGAATTTATTCTTATCACTTAGCTAGTTATAGAGGTGTAGAAGAAAGAATCAAAATCACTGTCTGCCGGTGTAAGGGTCTTCTCGTACTGTGAGTCTGAGGCCCTGTGAGTCTTAGGCTCAGGCCTCTGGCTAGGCAGCAGAGGCAGCCAGAAGCTGGGAAGCGTATGGTCACATCCTCACATCCCAAACCAGTCACACTGAAATAAGGTGCTATTGGGCTGTTAGGAAACGATCCTGTCCTGATAATGTCTATCACCTCCAGAGAAAGGGAAGTGCCTAGAAGATTTAAAGGAAACTTAGTTTGATCGCATCCTGTCTGGCAAGAACTAACTTATCAATAGCTGGGATGTGAAATCCTCATTTCCTTGTTGTTCTATCACTGTAGTGCCCATTTCCCTGTCTGGTTCTGTGATTGTTTCTGCCTGCTGTATAATTAATTTTGTTGGGTGTAAACCAATTAAGGTGGTGGGATATAATTGGTTAGATAATCCTGTTACAATATGTTAGGATTGGTTAGTTACAATTTCAGTAAAATGATTGGTTATGGTATAGCTAAGCAGAACTCAAGTTTTATTATATAGTCTGCAGTCAATCAGGAAGTAAGGGGAGGGATGGGAACAGGGAATGGGGATGGGGGAATTGGAATCATGTTTTGCTAAGGGGGGAATGGGAAGAGGGACACAGGCAAGGCTCTGTGGTGTCAGAGCTGGGAAGGGGGACACTAAGGAAGGAAATTGGAATCATTGCTTGCTGGAAGTTCACCCCAATAAACATCGAATTGTTTGCACCTGTGGACTTTGGGTATTGTTGCTCTTTGTTCATGCGAGAAGGACCAGGGAAGTGAGTGGGTGAAGGAATAAGACCTCTAACAGCACATTCCACAGCCATTCTGCACCTACTTGCACCTGTTGTTGAAATGTTCCTTACTGACATCTAGGTTTCCAGTGTATGGCTTCATGAGTCATGGCATCAATGGGTAAGCTAGGTCTCCCAGGATCACAATGGGCATTTCCACTTCCCCGATGGTGATCCGCTGACCTGGAAAGAAAGTCCCTGCTTGCAGCTTTCTGTAAAGGCCAGTGTTTTTAAAGATACGTGCATCGTACCCCTTCCCGGACCATCCACCGTTAATATCAGTGAAATGCCCATGATGATCCACTAGCACCTGCAAAACCCATGGAGAAGTACCCCTTACAATTTATGCACTCGGTGCCAAGGTGGGTCCCACCAGTTAGGGAAGCCCATTTCTGCAAAGCCATCCAAAATGTCACGCACAATACCAAGAGTCACGGTCTTGCACAATAGGATGCAATTAATGGCCTTGCATACTTGAGTTACCACAGCACCAATGGTCGATTTCCCCACTCCAAACTAGTTCGCAACCGACCGGTAGCTGTCTGGAGTCACCAGCTTCCACAATGTGATTGCCACACACTTCTTGACAGTGACTGCAGCTCAGTCTGGTGTCCTTGTGACGCAGGTCTGGGGAAAGCTCAGCACACAGTTCCATGAAGGTGGTTTTCCGCATCCGAAAGTTTTGAAGCCACTGGTCATCATCCCAGACATGCATAATGATACGATCCCACCACTCTGAGCTACTTTACCTAGCCCCAAAAACACCATTCCACAGTGCTCAGCTCCTCAGTTAATGCTAAAAGCAATCAAATGTTACTTAGGGCATGGCTACACTTGCAGATGTAGAGCGCTGGGAGTTAAACCAGCCATCGGAGACAGCAGCAGGGAAAGCACTACTGTGTGTTTACATGGTCAGCTGCAAGTGCAGTGGCATGGCCATATTAGCAGCTCTTGCAAAGCCACAGAGAGCAGTGCATTGTGGTAGCTATCCCAGTGTGCAAGTGGCTGCAGCATGCTTTTCAAATGGGGGCAGAGGGGTGGAGTGGGACACGGAGTGTGTTGTGTGTATGTGGGGGGAGAGACAGTGTGTTGTGGGGGGCAGAGAGCGTGTCAGCATGCTGTCTTGTAAGTTCAGACAGCAGCAGGGGGAAACCCCGACATCTGCCCACACACACACACACACACATACATACCCCACCTGCCTCGGGGCAGCAGCATTCCACGGTAATGGTTTGCTTTGTCCCAGATAAGCACGCTGGCTGTGAGAAATAGAGCTTTGAAAGGGGATATCCACATGCCTGCAAACAATGACAAGAGTGGACACTTGACTTCAACGGAGGCCAATCACAGCAGTTTTTCAGCTGGGGCGCAGCAAGCTCTATGCTTCTTGTGGAGATGGATTACCAGGAGCACTCCAACTGCAGAGTCCAGGCGCTCTAAGTGCCTTGCCAGTGTGGACACCTCAGGAGTTAGGGCGACTGGGGCTGATTTAATATGCTCTAACCTGCAAGTGTAGCCAAGGTCTTATTTCCATTTCAGCAGCTCATCAGGCATTTCTGACTGGAGTTCTCTTTGCAAGTTTAAGACTAGCTACACTGCCATGCATGATGTGCAAGTGACAGCTATCAGAGTAGTGGACAGCAGTGCAGGATCCATTCCTGCTTGTAGATGTGGTAGGGAAAGCAGCCAGACAGCCAAGAGTGTTAAAAAATGCCGCAAAAGAAACAAGGAAGTAATAGGGCTGCTGGGACATGAAGCAGTGCAACATGGGGCACTGAGCAGGGACCCAGAATGCCTTCTGCTCGCCCCCCCACCCCCTTCCCACAAGACCTATCGTCAAAATGGAGAGAGCTACACTGTGGGATAGCTGCCCTAGAGCGCTACTCTCATCCATGATGGAAGTGCTGCTAATGTAAACACACTCTGATCCCGGAGGAATTGAGTACACAAACCAGCGCTTTACTTTCACCGGTTCCCTATCACCAGTGAAACTTACAGCGCAAAAAACTTAGCAAGTGTAGACATACCCTTAGTTAAGCCATGCTACAAATGACTTCAATACTAACCTAGGTCACAATATGCCTAGGAAGTTAGCACTTACAAAGTGGATTAAAATCTTCAAATGAAAGGTACTATAAAAGTGAGAAAAACGATTTTAATATTACTAAGATACATGTATATTTACAGGCCTATCTTCTTTTTTGTGACAAACACGGGGGTGCTCTTTAATAAAAGGCAAAAGATTTATTAACACTATTTTGGCCTGCCACTGCCATGGTGTTAAGAGACCATCTGGAACAGCCCAGGCAGACAAGAGATGTGTCATGATGGTCGTCTAATGACCTTAAAATGGAAGGTATTAAGAAACAATACCAGAACAATTAGTGCTGACAACTCTAGTCCGGCCCCTGAACTGGTTTGACCAGTGTAGAGGAAAGGGGGAGGCCAAAGGCCACCAATATTTGAAATAGCTTCCTGGAGAACAAAGAAAGCTGACACTGTTTAGTTGTTTGCAGCTTTGTTGTAGCAGTGTTGGTCCCTGAGTGAGGCAATATCTTTTACTGAACCAACTTGAGACAAGATTTCAAGCTACACAGAGCCCTTCTCAAGTCCTGAAGAGCTTCTGTTGTTCAAAAGCTTATCCCTTTCACCAACAGAAGATGGTACAATAAAAGGGCTAACAGACACTCTCGTGGCTGGGGGAGGGAGAGAGACAGGGAAACAGAAAACAGCCAAAGACCTCCACAGGAACTCACCTCTGAAGTCGTTAATCCTGCCTAGGTCACCATTATGGGATACAGCATAAAAGTTGGCTGTTTTAAAATCAGGTTTTTTTTTTCTTTCTAAAACTTTGCTCCAACTGCTATAGAAAATATTTTCTTTTTAAGAAAGCTACTAGTCAATATCACCAGTCAAAGATTGCCATGGAAAGAAAATAGGTGCCCAGATCTCAGCATGGTGAGAAATGAATGGTACACACAGGGCAGTTTGGTCCTGGTCCTACTGAAAGAGTGGGAAAATTGCAAAATACCACTCTGAAGCAGGTAAGAGCTAAAGGCACAAGACTCCAGTCATTCAGGCACCAGGAAGAGGACAAAGGGTGCAGCTAGCCATGTAATCATGACAATAGGTTAGTTTGTTTAAATACATCTGTCCAAATCTGAGTTTGAGTTTAGGAAAAGCAGAAATGTATCTGCAATTATATTAACTCTTACAAGGAAAATCATACAATGCTCAGCTGAGGTTTTCGAAGGTAAATAAAAATAGTATTTTGTTTTAAAAGGCAATGTGTCAGAACAGCTCAAACAACTTACATCAAGAAACTACTGTTTTCTCAGAAAAACCTACTGCCCCATAGGCTATCTATATGCTGTAAGTCATCCCAGCACACACTTATTTACTGCTTAACCTTTATGTCTATACATATTTGAGCTCTCAAAATAGTTACCCCCCCAAAAAAAAGACATTTTACTTCATTTTTAAGGGACTTTTGACAACTAATTTGTAATATATATATATCTATCTCGCACAAAAACAGGAAATAAAGGTTTGCTTTATTTGGAAAGTTGTACTTTTGTTTTCTTGGCATTTAAACTACACCTAAGGGAGCTCCTACACAAGTGTTTAAAAAATATTTTTAGAGTGGTTTTTCAGACTCAGTCAAAACAGTGTTTAAAATTTACAGCAGTGAGTAATAGACACACTTCATGGTTTCCTTGAGGGCAAATGTGTAAAAACAGTAAAAGTAATGGAAAGCAAGTCTAGGAAGGCAGAAATATCCTGCTCCACACATCTCTACAAGATAACGTGAGATTCCATTCCTTTAAGTTGTTTTGGTGATTTTTCACTCTTAGTGTAGTCTTGTTACACTTTTGTATAGGTCAAAGATGGGTAAAATATATTTCATACCACATGGCATAAGCTATTTCCCTAGGGATCATGAATGACATCTCCACTCCATATACAGCATTTAATTATGGTTATTTCTGTGGTTTTCATCACGATAGTATCTGCCCAATATTGCATAATTAGCTTGGAAGGACAGAGAAAGGGAGAAAAAGGATCACCTCTGAAGCATGAGCAAAGTTGAGATATCAGACTTGATAGTGTCTCTAAATCAAAGTGGTCACCACAACTAGTGTCTAGTTTCCAACCTCATCTATTTGAGCCTTACCTTCAGACTATTTACACATTTAAAGGAATATTTGCACTTCTTCGATTTCCATTTTCCTTTTCCCCAGCTTTTTCTTCCTGGTGCATTGGGAGTGTTTGTTGGGGTGTCAGGGCGTTCAGTGTTAGTACCACTTTCTATACTAACAGCATCATCCTGAAAATATACAAAATGGGTAGATATCAGTACCTAACTTAAGAAACCCAAATAATGGAAAACTAGCTGCTTTTACATTTTTTCCACCAATAGGAATACTCTCTGCACAAGGACTTTAAAAAAAAAACATTAACCCCCCAGTTCGAACTAAGATACGCAACTTCAGCTACGTGAAAAACGTAGCTGAAGTCCAAGTATCTTAGTTCGAACTACAAGGTACTTACCGCGGGTCCACACGCAGCAGGCAGGCTCCCCCGTCGACTCCGCGTACTCCTCTCGCGGAGCAGGAGTACCGGTGTTGACGGCAAGCACTTCCGGGATCAATTTATCTAGACAAGACGCGATAAATCGATCCCAGAAGATCGACTGCTTACCGCCGAACCCGGAGGCAAGTACAGACGTACCCTTTCTAAAGGCAGAAACTTTAGCCCTTTAATTTTTTTGATTCAGATATGTCAAAAAGAGACCAGACAACTGCAAGACTCCAGAAGAACTCCAGAAGCAGGGGGACATTTTCATTGCTTAGCCTCCTACTCTTACCAACAAATTTGCTATCTGTAATGAGACTAAATGACACTCAATTTCTCATTTCATCACATGGAATTTGGTTAGATAAGAAATAGAAACTAAACCTTTTCAGGGCAGGGAAATGGTCTTAAAAAAAAAAAGGGATGGTAATTATCTACCTCACAGGCATTTTACAGGAATAAACAATGCTTGTAAAGACTGCTGAGATATTTATAATGAAAAGAATATTTGAGTGCAAAGAATTATTATAAATTAACTCCTGTCAGGAATGTAGCTTTCCTAGGAGTGCTGTCTTCTGTATGGTGTCAATAAGTATTCAGGAATAAAAGTGAATACAAAACAGTAACGGATTAAGCAACTTCAGAGGTGTTGTGGGGCTAAACAGACACAAAAGACAGACGGTAACGGCCTGATTTTCCAAGGGTACTGACCAAATACAGCTCCCACTGAAGAGCTGCAGCAGCTCAGTACCTCTGAAAGCCACGTCATAAGTGAATCATCTAACTCAGAGGGAATCATCCCTCCATGTAGGGTGACCAGATGCCCCGATTTTATAGGGACAGTCCTGATTTTTGGGTCTTTTTCTTATATAGGATCCTATTACCCCCCTACCCCCGTCCCGATTTTTCACACTTGCTGTCTGGTCACCCTACCTCCATGTTCCCCCCATAGAATGGGGCACAGTTTCAGTGTAACTGCACCTTTACCTTCCTGGCCCCGCGCTCTTCTCAAAGAAGGCACACTCAGTCTAGAGGCCTGAGACCATCATCTTTCTCTGCACAGGGACCTTTGAATGGGAGTTTACCAACATGTAGCAGTGTTCGGGGCCCCCCTTGGATCAAAGATAAGGTCCATTTGTTAGGATGGAAAGAAGTCTCCCCCGCCCCACCCATATTAGGTTAAACTCTGTTTTATGCCAGAAATTCTTTGGTTCCTTGGGTTTCTGATACCCATTTGAACCAGTATATACAAACCAACCCAGGGAGTGGTACCCCTCTTGAATTGTTTACAATCCCTGGGACTGCAATAATCACCCCCCACAATTTTACTTCCTGGAGGAGTTATGGTAACCCTCCCCCCCATGGAACTGAATAAAGTCCCTGGCCCAGCAGATATATAGAACATTAACAAATTCAATATGGTACCCAAAAATACCGCATGTGCTTGCAATCTCTGTCACTGAAGGACAGCTTCCCAGGGGAAGGCTGACTGCCCTCACAGGCTCTGAGCCATAGGAAGTTTGTGGTCTTTAATGCCATCTCTCTTCCTACCCCCACTAAACTTAAGGAAATTCTAGTTTCAGTGGATTTGTCAAAAAACAGGCCTTGTCTGCATTAGTAGGATTTTGTCAGTATGGTGTGGATGTAGTTATATTGGTATAAAAATGCTTATTCCAGTATAGTTTATGCAATATTACATGATCACAATCTACTTGGCAGAGCTATGTCAGTACAATTTTTAAGTGTAGGTCCCCAAGAAGCCTCTTTTGTGATTCTTGGATAAAGTGGTCTCCTCCTCTCTCCTCCATCGTGAGCCTATTCTTCAGTAAGCCAGAGAACCCAAGTCCTCAGGTTATTCCTTATCCTCAAGCTGACCCCACAGCACTCTGTTAAACTAACCACTAAAAGTATGTGTTGTATGAAACACAAAGACAACCAAAAATACAACACACACTTGCTAGTTCCCTGGAACGGTTAACTGAAAAAAACAACACTAACTGGAGGCTTTTCCCCCTCCCCCATCTATACCTCACAAACAAGTGTTAAAATTTTAACAAACTTTATGAGCTGTAAAGCACACATTTTATAGATACTTCAAAATTATGTTTTCTGTAATACGCAATAATCCTGGTAACATCTGAAAGCAAGCAGGCAAAACTGACACACGGGTGCATTCAGAGCCAATGTACAACAGCAAGCAAAGATAGTGTATCTGAGTTAAGACAATGTAGATGGTCTTATGTGCAGCTTTCACTAGTATTCTCATTGGATTTATGTAAAAACAGGAGTACTTGTGGCACCTTAGAGACACATTTGTTAGTCTCTAAGGTGCCACAAGTACTCCTGTTCTTTTTAGTTAGATACAGTACTATCTTCACTTGCTGTAGTACACAGGCTCTCAGCACACCTTTACATGTCAGTTTTGTCTGCCTGCTTTTTGATGCTAGGAAGCACTCTGCAACCATACAGATACCTGGAATCAGTGGGAGTTAACTTAACAGGAACTGCAAGATTTGACTCTAGACATAAAAAAAAATATTAAAACATTAATTCATACTAAGAACGTGTGGGCAGATGGGCTTGGAGAAAGCAAAGTGGGTTTGGGGCAGAAAGGGAGAAAGCTGTGGCCACATCTATGCTATAGCAACATAGGCCGCAGCTATAACTCCATAGATAAATCGCAGACTACAGTGACAGAAGGGGGTTTTCCACTGCTGTAGGAACTCCATCTCAAGTGATTTTTCCACTGATCTTCCAGACAGCACAGCTACAGTACAGAGAAGGGCAACAAAAAATATTAGGGGTATAGAACAGCTTCCATTTAAGGAGAAATTTAAAAGTTTGGGACTTTTCAGCTTGGAAAAGAGGCGACTGGATATGATATAAAATCTTGACTGGTGTGAAGTAAGTGAATAAGAATGTGATATTTATCCTTCACATAACACAAGAACTAAGGGTCACCCAATGAAATTAATAACCAGCAGGTTTAAAACAAACAAAAGGAAGTACTTCTGCACACAGTCGACCTGTGGAACTCCTCACCAGGGAATGTTGTGAGGGCCAAAACTGTAACAGGATTCAAAAAAGAACTAGATAAGTTCCTGGAGGATAGGTCCAACAATGGCTATTAGCCAGGATGGGCAGGGATGCAACACCATGTTCTGAGTGTCCCAAGCCTCTGCTTGCCAGAAGCTGGGAGTGTACAAGGGATGGATGACTGCCTGTTCTGTTCATTCCCTTTGAAACACCTCGCATTGGGCACTGTTTACACTGGTGCTTTACAGCGCTGCAACTTGCTGTGCTCACGGGGGGTGTTTTTTCACACCCAAGCGAGAAAGTTGCAGCACTGTTAATTGCCAGTGTAGACAAGCCCTAAGTGTCTACACTACTACTGTGCTACAGTCAGCTGCAGCGTTTCAAGCACAGACATACCTAAGCCTATGTAGGCTGTGTCTACACTGCCACTTTCAACGCTAAAACTTTATCGCCGCCCGTTAGGGGTGGGTTTTTTTGTTTTTTTTTAAGTACCGGGAGAGCTCTCCCCCAGCAATAAAGCATGTCTACACTGCCCACCTCACAGTGTTGCTGCAGCAGCACTGCCATAACATGGACAGTGTAGACATACCCTAAAAAGCTGGTTTGGAAGCAGAATGAAGGTAGCCAAAGGTGGGAGAAAAAAGACAAAGGGAGCAGTTGGGAGAGAGGACTGGGTGGAGCACTGGAGGCAACAAGAATGTGAAGACAAAAGCAGGAGCGGAGCTATTCAGACCCCTGAAGGTGAAGATAAGGTACTTGAAATCTGAGTGGATGAAAAGAGGAAGAAGTGAAGTTTGTGGGGGATGGGGGATTGATGCAGTTATTCTCTTCATCTGCTCAGGTTTCAATCTCTTTATCTTTACCTTCAGGGGTCTGAATAGCTCTGGTCCTGCTTCTTTCCATATTCTTGTTGCCTCCCATGCTCCACCCAATCCTCTCTCCCAACTGCTCCCTTTGTCTTTTTTTCTCCCACAAAATTTTCCCTTCCCTTACTTTGCTTCTACCTCTTGGTTGGTAAGACAACTCCCACCTGTTCATGCTCTCTGTATGTGTGTATATATATCTCCTCAATATATGTTTCACTCTATATGCATCCAAAGAAGTGGGCTGTAGTCCACGAAAGCTTATGCTCTAATAAATGTGTTAGTCTCTAAGGTGCCACAAGTACTCCTGTTCTTTTTGCGGATACAGACTAACACGGCTGCTACTCTGAAACCTCTTGGAATGGATTCCTCTCCCTTTCTGCCCCAAGCCCTCTTTCATTTAAGTCTTTCACAGCTACTTCCTCCAAAGCCATCTGCTCACATATTCTCAGTTTGACTTATTTTAACTACTGTTTTGACATGGCAGGAGCCTGTATGTAGAGAAAAAGAGGGGTAAAGCAGAAGTGACCAACCAGGGTTACACACAGGACTTTTTAGTATTGTATCCTATCATTTCAGAGTTTAAACTACATAAATGTGCCCAGAGATCTTAATGGTTGGTACTTAAATCACTGTACAAATATTGTATATGCATACAATAAATAAGGACTTCACCTTTATAGAAGACTATATCACTAAGCCTCTGTTCTGCAATGGATTACACACAGTTGCAGAAATCTAACAACACAGCTCATTGCAGAATTGGGACCTCAGAATTTAATTTTAACAGTCTAACAGAAAAGACTTGCAAACTGTATTGTGTGAATGAATGACCATAATGTAACTTATGGTACAAAAGCAAAAGAAAGAAAACAATTTATAACAAGTTAGGTATGAATCTCATTGGCTTGTATAATTCTATCATTTTAAGCACATTCTTTTGGTATTATACAGCAGTTCTGTTGCAGCCAATCATTTGCTTTTGTTTTGTTCTTATGTTAGGACAGTCTTTAGTAGCACATATTTGGTGATAAATTTTTGCACAAAAGTGGAGTTTTCTTCCACTGTAATAACTTTAATTTAAAAACATTCTCAAATAGAGTCTCCTTTCACCAAAAGACTACATGTATGTAGGAATATTGCAAAACATATTGTTCCACAGTACAAGATTTAAAAACAGACACAGCACGCGCACAGTTTTATTTTTTCCATTTTAAGATGTTTTACTAGAAACTGATTAACCAGACTATAAAATGATAAAATCTCTACCTCTACACCTCCCACACCTTACCTCAGAGGTGCCTGCCTAACTCCCAGCCCCACCTTACTTAATTATTTAGGAATGCGGTATCTCCTCAGCCCCCTGAGACCTAAAACACCCTCTCCCTATTTAGAGTGCAGGGAGCATCAAACAGAAATTTCCCCATCACTATTTTGAGGTGAAGGAGGGCTCTGCTGTAGGACCTTCTCCTTCCCCCCCCAGTGGATGCAGTCTAAAGTACAAATCCCAGAACCTCCTCACTGCTGTAGGGTCCCCCACCTCCCCACACCCATATATTATGGTGGGACCCTTCAGTTAAGGGAAAGATCCCAAGCTACTTGAGGAGTTTTCCCAGTTAAGGGGGTACTCTCCGCCCAGCCTGCTGTGAGGGACGTGTATCCCCCCCGGGGAAGGGGAAGGCTCCAAGCTACAGGCTATTTGGGGAGATTCCCCAGCAATGGGGTGACCCCAGCCATACCTGCTTGGAGGGATATGGGGATCCCCCTGGGGAGGGGAAGGCCCCAGGATAAGGGGGGGACATTGGGGCAATTCCCGATAATGGGGTGACCCCAGCCCCGCCTGCTGGGAGGAGTGTGGGGATCCCCCCGGGAAAAGGCCCCAGGATAAGGGAGGACATTGGGGCAATTCCCGATAATGGGGTGACCCTGCTATGCTTGCTGGGAGGCGTGTGGGGACCCCCCCGGGAGGAGAAGGCCCCAGGGTCGGGGGCTTCCCCGTGCTAAGGGTGGGGAACCCCCCAGTAACGGGCTGCCATCTCCAGGCCCCCCACCCCCGGCTCCCGGGGGGCCCCGCTCCCGACTCACGTTCTCGTCCCCCGACAGGTCCCCGGGGTTGCTGTTCTCGTCGCTGCTCAGCTTCTGCTTCTTGGCCGGCATCTCGCTCCCCGCTCCCGCCGCCGCCGGGGGATCAGCCCGCTCAGACATCTTCCCCGCCCCCCGCCGCGGAGCCGTAAAGCGCGCCCGGACCAGGGCCGACGCACCACCGTAAAGAGTCCTCCTCACGCCGCAAAGCAGATTGAGTGCCTAGTGAAGGGAGTTGCCACACTGCTGAAAAATCCAGCCTAGCCCCAGCCATCGTGCAGCTGCTAGAGCTGGCTGGGAGAGAGAGAGGGGTGGGTAATGTAGACAGGCTCAGATGATCTCAGGGGTCTTTTTTACTCTCATATCATCCAGTGATTTCAATGGATGGCAGGAGCCTAAATACCTTTTAGGGTTTGGGTTTTAGTGGCAAAGCTTTTTTTTTCCCCCCCTTTTCTCATTTTTATGGCAAAACAGTCTTCACTGAATGGCCTATAGCTGCCAGAAACTGGAATTCCTCACTCCTTCACAGTTTCTATGCTCTCACGCTGCCCTGTGTCTTTCCAATAACGTATCAGCTCCTTATTCATAATACTCCATTTCCCCCACATTTTTATTAAATCACATCATGTATTTTTTTACCTTAAAATGTTTATATTCCTCAAAAAGCTTTTCCATTTTTTAAAATGAACGCCCTTACATACCCATCAAAGGTGATCATTTCTTCCACCTGACAGAGTGCACATAGTCCATCTTTGTGTCCTTTTTATTCAGAAAAAAATTTTGTTAAGCCAAAATGGGCAATTAATACTCTAAACAAAAGCACTTCATTAGTCCTATGCAGACCCTGGAGTACATCATAATCATCAACTGTAGGGCATAATTCAAATTTTTTTCTTCCTCTTTTTTCATTAATCCAAATTTTTTTGACATTCCTCTTTTAAATTTGTCTGTTTAGGCATTTGAATTCCTGTTTACTTGAGGGTATTTCTACGTCAATCCTTCCATTTCTTACAGCATTTTTAGATGCTTTGTCCACCATTTTGTTCCCTATTTTCCCAATATGTGTTGGAATCCAAGCTAATGCTACGTGTATCCCCATCAGTACTAACTCTGCTATTAGAAATATAACATTTAGAGGCAACCTGGTTGAGTGGCTAGGGCACAGGACTAAGAGTCAGGAGCATTGAGTTAGGGAGGAGGGCTAGCTCAGTGGTTTCAGCATTGGCCTGCTAAACACAGGGTTGTGAGTTCAATCCTCCAGGGGGCCATTTAGGGATTTGGGGCAAAAATCTGTCTGGGGGTTGATCCTACTTTAAGCAGGGGGTTGGACTAGATGACCTCCTGAGGTCCTTTCCAACCCTGATATTCTATGAAATCACTTCTACATACTGAGACAATCTTTTTGATCGCCATAAGGCCTGAGATTGAATCTGGAAAAATGACCACTGCTGCTGGACATACATCCCAGATCCAATTTAATGCTAGCATTACTGCTGCTAGTTTGGCTGTCATGATAGCTACATAGTCAGATATTCTTTTAGATGTACTAATTCCCAATTTTGCCATCCCTATTCTTCCTGGTTTTCTTCTCTTTTGGACCCATCTGTATATATTTGACAAAAATGACTACACTTTTCACCTATATACTAGAATACTTCATTTTTAATAACTACTGCCTCTTTTTTGCCTGTACGTTTGTGAAATAAATCTTAATCCACATTTGGACTTTCCATCCATAGCTAATTTTGCCATGACTGAAAGTTTTGGCTTCATTCAGCTTTTCCTTGTCTTTAATCTCCTTCATCCACACTTTAACTCAAATGGCATGTGGAGTTCTAACATCATGTGCTGTAATTCACCCACTGAGTTCCCCAACAATCCTCATAGATTTGTTTGAGTCTTTGATCATTGCAGTTCCCATTACCTTTGATCCAGAAAGATAGGTTCTGTAGTTTCATAGTGTAACTGGTATTTCACTAGAAGCTATCTGTAGCACACATATAGGTGTTGTAATAAATGCAACACACACAATTCATAGTGCCTGGGCTTGTATTAAATCTAATTTTTTAAGTTCTGATTTTGATGCTGACCCAAAAGCTTGGCAGCCATAGTCAGTAACTGGTCTGAGGAAGGTTCTGTGTACTATCAGCAGTGTTTTCGTATCCACCCCCCAGTTAGTCCCAGGGAGACATAAGCAGGTTAATCAGAGATTCATAGAAGATTAGGGTTGGAAGAGACCTCAGGAGGTCATCTAGTCCAACCCCCTGCTCAAAGCAGGACCAACACCAACTAAATCATCCCAGCCAGGGCTTTGTCAAGTTAGGCCTTAAAAATCTCTAAGGATGGATATTCCACCACCTCCCTAGATAACCCATTCCAGCTTCCCCACCCTCCTAGTGAAATATTTTTTCCTAATATTCAACCTAGACCTGCCCCACTGAAACTTGAGACCATTGCTTCTTGTTCTGTCATCTGCCACCACTGAGAACAGCCGAGCTCCATCCTCTTTGGAACCCCCTTCAGATAGTTGAAGGCTGATATCAAATCCCCCCTCACTCTTCTCTTATCTTTAACATAGTTTATATGATCCTTCCAAAGTAATTTAGTATCAAATAAAAAGAACAGGAGTACTTGTGGCACCTTAGAGACTAACAAATTATTTGAGCATAAGCTTTCGTAGGCTACAGCCAACTTCTTCAGATGCATAGAATGGAACATATCGTACGGTGTTAGTCTCTAAGGTGCTACAAGTACTCCTGTTCTTTTTGCTGATACAGACTAACACGGCTGCTACTCTGAAACCTGTTAGTATCAAATATTACCCCTAAGAATTTGAATCTTTTAACTGTATCCATTTGTTCTCCAGACAGATACAGTTTACATTCCTTTGTAACTTTCTTTTTTGTGAAGCTCAATCCTTTGGCAATGGAAAACCTGAAACCCCATGCATTTCCTGGGTCAGAGGTTTCTCGTAATGCTTTGTAGATTCTCTTTTCTGCCACCTCAGTATTCCTGCTCATAACTCTCAGTCATCTGTGACTAGAGTGACACCTATCGCAGCACTTATTTGTTTTGTGAGATACATTATCAGAATATGAAATAAGGTTGAGCTGATAACACTTCCCCATGGTGTACCATTTTTAGTATTATATATTCAACATAACTTTTGCAACATACATTCTTCTTAGGGTGACCAGACAGCAAACGTGAAAAATCGGGACAGGGTGGGGGGTAATAGGAGTCTATATAAGAAAAAGACCCAAAAATCAGGACTGTCCCTATAAAATCTGGACATCTGGTTACCCTAATTCTTCTCCTTATCCTAGTATACTGACCTTGTACAATAAGCCTTCCCTTCATAGCATGTCATATGCCTTTTCAATATCTAGAAAGACAGCTGTCACAAAACCCTTGTGCCTCATACATTGTTGTATTTCAGTTTGTAATTTCACAATGTGAACAATGATGCACCCTATCCATAATGCCATTGTTTTCCAAATAGGCAACCAATCTTTCATTCATCATTCTCTCCATAATTTTACCCAGGCAGGACATAAGGGCAATTGGTCTAGAAGCATCCACTTTTGTGGATAGTTTGCCTGGTTTTCGTATTGGAATTACTACTGCATGTTTCCACCCTTACTGTTATCTCTTCTTTTTCCCATATATTGTTAAATAATTCCAAGATAACCCTCAAACTGCTTTCAGAACAATATTTAAACATTATGGTACATATATTATCTTTACCTGGGGATGTATTCTTGCTGATATCACTAGCTTTCTCAAGTTCTTGCATACAAAACCATTCATTCAGTATAGTATCTTCATATTTACCATAATCGATCATGATTCTCTTCAGTGAATTGCCTTTTAATCTGGTGGGAAACTTCACTTTGGTTTTCTTCATTACTCACCCCTCAAAAAGTTTCTGCTAGAACTTTTGCTTTCTCATGATCAGAACTTCTAACTATATTGTCAGTCCCAAAAAGACATGGCATGTGGCTCTGAGTCTGAATACCATTCATTCTTCTAATTTCCCTGTATATTTCTGATGTCTTGTTTATCCATCCACAATACTTCCTCCAATTCTCTTTCTTTGTTGATTTTTTTAAATAATTCTTTTATACTTCATTAGATCTTCACTATTTGTTGTATTTTTTGCTTTTTTTAATACACTTTGTTCTGTTCTTTAACAGCCATTTTACACTCCTCATTCCATCATGGAAGTGAGTTTTTAGTTTTGGGGTATTTTAATATCCTAGGCATGGCTACAGTAGCTGCTGCTATTAATCCCTTTGTTACGTTATCATTGAAATTCTCAGTGTCATCACTCACACAATGATTATTAGCAAATTCAGTATATTTATTTGTAAATAGATCTCAATTAGCTTTCTTAAAATGCCAGGTGGCTAATTTTCCATGACCTTCAACCTTACCTTGCTCTTGAAAAGTAATAAGTATAGTGAAATGATCACTCTCCATTCCTTCTTCCTTATATATTTCCCAGTTGCATTTACTTGTGATATCTGCTGTTCTAATTCCCAGGTCTAAGCAGGAAAAACTATCCAGTCGGGGTGCTGTGATGCTGTATGATTGAATATGACCATTTATATAATTGATATTACCACTGTAATACAATTGCAACAAATCTTGTACAAAGTTTATCATGTCAATGGAAAAGTTACAATCTATCAGATATGATTATCCTGGCTAATTCCATGTATCATCTTTGTATCTAAAATTAGAATATTGGCTATGGACTTGTATCTAAGGCAGTGGTCTCCAAACTTTTTTGATCGCGCTCCCCTATCAGTAAAAAAATTTTGAGCACGCACCCCCTGCTGCGCCGGCTCTACCATTTTGCCAAAGCAGAAAAAAAAAAAAAGGCGCTCGGACTCCCGCCCGAACTGCCAAAGCAAAAAAAAAAAGCTGCTCAGACTCCCGCCTGACGAAGCAAAAAATAAATAAATAAAAGCGCTCTCCTGCCGCGCACCCCCAAGGATCCTCTTGCACACCCCATTTTGGAGACCACTGATCTAAGGGTATGTCTTCACTACCAATGTTAAAGTGCTCCCAGAACTGGTGCACTGTCTATACTGCCACTTTACAGTGCTGAAACTTGCATCGCTGGGAAGGGTGTTTTTTCACACCCCTGAGGAAG